ATTCCTGATCTCGGTGTGGCTGACAAGAGAAGCATGTTCGCACCCCTCCGTCGCCGCAAAGAAAGAAAAGCTGCAGAATTGCGAAGGGCACAGTCACACGTCGTCTTGGCGTCTACGCAAACCAACAATCAGCCAAAGAGTGTACTCAAAGGCGGAGATGTCAAGGATTTCTTCGACCTGAGCGACGATGATATCGCCGAAGAGGATCTGAGCGCCGACGAGCCTACGACCCCTGAGATGACACCGTATCTGCGCAGGCCGTCGACAAAAACGATAACATCCGTTCGTGCTACGACACCCATGTCGAAGCGATCCTCAACAGCCAGTGTCATAAACCCTCTTGCAGACGCTGCCGCTCATGGTGCTGTGCAGATCGCGAAGATTGCAGCTAAGCACAAGTTTGACCTCGTGTACATTGTCAATCTCTGGCCTGAGAAGGTTCATTATACATCTGCAGCTGCATCGACGCCTACCTCGGGCTGCGAGTCAGCTTGCTCTTCCAGGCCCAGCAGCGCCAGGAGCTCGTTGCTTGACTCCATGGAGGGCACTGTCGTGGAAACCGCAGCTGGAATGACGGGCCGACTACTTGCGGCCTATGGACTATCCAAAGTGGCCAGCCCCTTTCGCATTTCCGCTGCAGTCCACGCTAAGATTCTGCGCCACGAAAGCTGGATCGAATACCGCAGCGCTGATGCAAGAGAAGGCGAATTCTCGCGCGGATACGGCCACGCATTCCACGCAGGCTTTTCACGAAAGCTGTCCACAACTACTTGCGCCTCGATGGAACCACGGTCAGAGGTCGATCGTGGCGTTGTTTTCGCCGCCTATAGGCAACCTGGCCCTGACGGCAAGACACGTGGCTGCACACCTGAGGAGCTCGAGGCCCTACATGCAGATGCTGAGTATCTAATTGATATGCTCATTGCCATTCACAAGGCAAAAAGGCTTCGAAATCCAGTTGCGTTGAGCGCTCAAGCGGACGGCGTAGGACCGATGCCACCACAGCGAGGAGATGTGTTCCTTTGATAGAGGAACCTAGCTCGGTTTGAGATGACCCGGAGTACGGAGCCCTTGCTATTGCCAGGAGCTCCAGAATATGAGAACAAAGAGAAGAACACGGACTGATTCGAGGCGAAACGTGAGGCGGTCACAGCGAGCTTGCTTTTCTACTAGCCACTGCAACGCGACATGATACCTTTTGGGCGGCGATGACTGAATTGGAAGCCGGAGTAATGGGACTCGAGGCATGCGCACAATGTGTGGATTGTTTTTCTTTGAATGACCGTGGGAGTGTGTGGAAGCGTGTACGAGTTTCAGCTCAAGAGAACGAGAGAGTGAGAAGGATGGGAAGCCTGGTGCTGGACAGCATGTTGTGTTTTTGGGCGGGCCATGTCAGTTATTTCAAGATACCTCAGTAGGCATTTGAGTTCCTTATCTTCCTCAAGGTGTGTCGGAGAGCGTTCGACAAGCCCCACTTATCGCGGCTTATCTTACGCCCCACGTGTCATCTTTGTGTGGCGTTTCTTGAGTTCCGCCACAATGACGTTGGTATGGTTTCTTGGCGGGGGGGATGGTCTTCGCTACCTAGATGCCTGGGTATGTTCATGCCTACCTCACCAACTTGAGACTCTCCTCCAGTCTTTCTATGCCTTTGATCCTATACTTCACCACTCCAAGATAACCTTTTGCAACCTGAAGGTTCGAATCCCTACTCGACACACAGGGACAAAGAGCACGATGGCCTCTTCTGGCCCCCCTCCCAACTACTGTATGCGACTAGGAGCACCCCGCCATGGCCAGAGCCGGATGTGTGCTGACGTGCCCCAGATGCCATCCTGGAGATCCAGGAGTCGGCAACGACACAACAGATCCGTGACGCCTACAAGAAGTGAGAGACATGCATAACTCCATCCTCGTAAATCGGCCTTTGCGCTAACCACCCCCATCACAGAGCCGCTCTGAAGACACATCCCGATCGCGTCCCCTCCGACTCGCCCGAACGAGCATCCCGCACGCGCAAGTTCCAGATCGTCAACGACGCCTACTACACGCTTTCCGACCCTTCGCGACGCCGCGAATACGACGCCCAGCGAAAGATCTTTGGCGCGTCGTCCGGGCGCAAGGCACCCGCCGCGGGCGCCGACCCGTCCGATTCGGACGAATTTGACGAGGAGGTCCCGCCCCAGGCCGGCGGCGCCAACGCGCAAAACGCTTACTCGTGGGCGTGGAACTACTTCACCGGCAAGAATGGCGCGGCCGGCAGCAGCGAGGAGCGGCAGAAGACCGAAGAGGCGCAGTTCGGCGACGTCTTTGAGGAGATGCTGCGCGAGGAGGGCATGGCTGAGGGCGACGGTACGAACCGCCCGACCGGAACCTTCTGGAGCATGGTCGGCGGCGCGAGCGGCGGTGCGCTGGGCTTCATCGTTGCCAACGTGCCGGGTTTGCTGGCCGGGGCAGTAGCCGGGAACAGGCTGGGCGCCATCCGCGACACCAAGGGGAAGAGTGTCTATGCTGTTTTCCAGGTCAGTGCGAGCGTGGATGTGTCGATTGGGTGAAGTGAAGTTATTGGGCCGTGCAAAAACTTGTCAGCCTCTCTCTTTCTCCAGCCAAATGCGGTACTCGGGCGAGGGTCTCATCGCTGGGCTTTCTTTGCTGACTTCTTCTTTGTTCCACGTACAGGACTTGCCGCAGGCAGATCGCGCCAGACTTCTCACGCAGCTGGCGGCCAAGGTGTTTAGCCATACTGTTGGCGTTTAAATAAGGGACTGGGAGCGAGAACACGAGATACCTGGGATGGGTTTTGGACGGATTTTAACAGCAGCATTCGTATCATTTCTTCGATCAAAGACGCTGTATTCG